AAATGAAATAAACATTAATTAGCCAAGGGAATAAAAATTTATACGAGAGAGTAGAATTACAATGACGAGTTTTAAAATAAACTGCATTGTACGTTAATTGCACATTTTGATAAAAACACAGAAAGGTTAAAAAAAATCAGAAAATCGGCATTTTTATTTTTTACCAAATTACTACTCGGAACTACATTGTCTAACAAGCCAACAAAAATATCTACTCTGTCATATATTTATTTCTAGAAAATAGATCATTTTATTTTTTTTATCCTTCTCAATTGATACGAAAACATCCTTGAAGGTAAGAAGGCGTTTAATTGTTATTTGCACAATTAGTCTGCTATCTTTTAAAATTATTATTTATTTATTTATTTCTGTGCTTTATTAAGTTAATTTTTCATACAGTTACAAATTCTGAGCACAACAAATATGAAGATTGAAAGCCTCCAATTGCTCTCTTTTCTGAAGAATTCAGTTTCTAGTTTTAATTTTACATGTTAAGTTTAAGATCCTTTCCTCAAAGATGCGGACATAAATTGCCTCTCACAAGGCTTTTGGATATCAAAGATGAGCGTTAACTGCACTTTGATTGAGTTCTATCTAAAATCTAAATCTAGAAAATAGGCAAATTTCGCAGAATTTTATTCAGATGAGCTTTTTATTTTCTTGTTATCAAGTATCATTTAAACACCTTGTCATCGTACACTCTAAACGTACATAAATTAGCGCACCGCTGAAGATTTAGCGCAATCTTCCTTTCAACTGATTACAACAATCATGAATTGAGTCTGAGCTGCAAAGTTGCACAGCGGTACAGATCAAAACTATGGATCTCACGAAATTGACTGCAAAAGCACAGGACGACCAAGTTGATAATTACAGTGAAACGCTTGCTTTTTCGTCAGACAAATTTGGTAGCACTCCGAGTAAACAAAGAATTATGTAAATAGATGCCTTGCGCGGCAGTCTGATTGGCTGAGACAGATAAGGGCTTTGATAAAATTTAGGAACCGGATAAAACGGATCACAGTTAGAAAAAAGGGGGGCTTTAAATTCCAGGGTTATAAATAAATGTTTTAGTAAAATACTAGAAGGATAAAACACATTCTGACATCAACAAAAGTTGCAAGACTTTTTACATAAATTGCTTTATCTGAAAATAAACCTTATTTTACGTGTTTCACCGGTCAACAGGGGATGCTTATTCCATCTAATCTAGGCACCTTACCTCAACTTTGGAATTTCCGGGGGGTCCGTGTTTTATGCCCTGTTAAAAAATGTGTATAATTGTTTGTCATCTCTTTAAAGATCGGTCACTATTCGTTATCTTGACATTTTTCATTCCAGATACAGTTAATTTCATCGAAAATAGCCAATATTTCAAGATACTAATTTTATTTTAAAAGAGAACATAACCTACAATGTACTATTATAGAAGTAAAAGTATGTATTACTTTATATAATTATTTCTCAAATATACAGAGCATATTTTATTTATTTATTCAATTTTTTAGAGGGTACCGATGTACTCATATTTTGATTTTTGTTGTAAAATGTACACAGATTTTTAGTCTGAAGATTTTATGGACATTGGAATGCACTACGCATAGTAAGAGTTATGGCGCTTACATTGATCTCGGAAAGTTAGGACTACATGGTAAGTCGATGGCAACAGAAAAGATAGAGGCAAAGGGAATATCAAGCAAACGTAATAAACAGAGATATTCAATGTTTTGTTTTTTGATGTGGAATTTATTTCACGAGTGGGATTTTTAAAAAAAATATTTTTGCGAAGTAGGTTTGAAAGTATATTTAAAAAATCTTGTCTTTTCTTACATGTACCACAGTGTCATAGGCTGTGACGTCAGAATTGAGCTGTTGAAACGTCATAACTTAGAAATTGAGAAATTGAAAGCATTGGATTTCAACAGCATATTTGTAGAAACGTTGGTGTCTTTCATGTGGATTATTTACTCTATCTTATTACAGACGAGGGAGTATTTCTTACAATATTCTTCGTAAAGGAAAATCTCGAGTTTTGCCGCACGTCTGATATTCTGTCACACTGTGACAGAATATCACTTTGATATTCTGTCACACTGACAGAACATCATTCATATTCAATGAATTTCACTTTTGAAAATGTAATAAACAGAAAATTCAATATTTATAGTTGGATAAAGAATTTGTTTTACTCGTAAGACAGGAATATATATATATTAACTCGTGCTTCGCTTTCGTAAGAATATATATTAAAAAAATCCTGTCCTACTCGTAAATAAATTCCACATAACTAAAAAACACTGATTATCCTGTATATATTTATTTTGGTCTGACACACCCTTGTACTTGTTTAAATTTATACGAGCGTAAAAATATTAAACGAATCTGTCTCGTGAGTGAATTCGAAATAAATTCCACATTCAACGTCAAAATACTGAATTTTCTGTTTATTAAATTTTCATTGATTTTCCCTTTGCCTCTGTCTTCTTGTAACACAGTTTAATACTTAGCGATTGTGAGATTGAAAACATAGCAAACATGGATTTCAACAACATATTAGAAACTTTGGCAGTTTTAGTCTTTGTCAGGATTTTTTTACTCTATCTTTTAACAGGCCGGGAGTATGTCGTAAATCACTCTTTGTGAAGAGAAGGAAAATCGAGAGTTTTACTGCACTTCTAATATTCTTTCACGCTTTGATAAAATATCAACTTTTATTCAATCAAAAATACAGCATTTCATATATATGTAATAACGTCTAATTTTCTGTAAAAAAATACTTTCTTGACACCATAATTTAAGAACAAACAATATCAGGATCTGTCATACTTCGAAGGATTATATCGATTTTATATCCAACTTAATATGGTTAACAAGCACTTCACTTTTCGGTAAAGGAAAAGATAACCTAATCTTTCCTACCAGAACTTATTCTCTTGAAAATAGTGTCTTTATAATATATTAAATTTTGAAAAATATTAAAATCATCTAGAAGGAATTATGCATGCATTAGCTTTGGTTATTCCATTGGATTTAAACTTTTCTTTTTCTTCTGCTGGCTTTTTTAAAAGTACCAGAAAAGTAACCGCCAAGTATTGTTGATGGAGAATTTGCTTAATGATACTTAAAATAAATCAAATGGATATATTGAGTTTCTTTCCACATTAATAGGACATGGATAAATTATAAAGTAAAACAATATATGTCAACGAGGACATATAAAACATATAAAAGATTGACAGAAATAATACTTCACTTATCTATGCTACAAATTTCCCATGTCCTTTGTGAGAACGATTTAAAATGTTTAATATAATATTTGTTCTTCACATTTAGAGATCTCTCAAATAACAAATTTTGTAATTTCAGAAAAAAATATATCGAAAGTTGGTATAAGTTGGCTCGTAGAATTCTAGGCGATTGGCATAAATATATGGTGTCTAGAAAGTATTATAATTGCATATATTATATACGATACTTTGCATAATCACTTCTCTGGAAATACTGAATAATAAAGCTGATGTATAACGTACTTAACAGTTGGACAGGTAAACATATTTGAGCAATGTTTCCTTTGAAATATGAAGGTAACAAACAGTAACCAAGATCAAAATTCAATTGAAAAATACATATTTGAAGCATAGTAAACACGGACCTCTAAAAAATCAGAGGTGGGATCAGGTGCCATGAAGGAGCATGTGTTGACCAGTCGCACCCGCCGTCTGCTCCTTGTCATGGCAAACGGAAGAATCCGTAAACAATTCAGTGTGTAAATAATTGTGAACAATTTGTATAAAAAATGTAAGTCAGCATTCAACTTAATGATAGTCTTTATTTGATGACAAGATTATTGTTTCGACTATAGAATTTGCGAAATGTTGAATTAAAATGAGATTGTTGATATTCTTGTTTCATCAACTTGTTTGTCAATTGCTTGCCTCGTTTAAGATATTGAGCATGCTCTTGCGTATTGAATCAACTTGAAGAACTCATAACCTCTATGTGCAGGTTATACTGGAATATTTCTGAATAAATAAGGGAAGTTGACAATGAAAAAGATTAAGTCATCACGTTTATCATAGTTTTATTGTTAGGATATTAATGAAGTCACTTTCTAGTAAAATATCCAAATATGAAACAGAAATATCAGACTCTGCAATATATTTATTTCAAGTCTGAGGGGATACATTAAATCGACGTAGGAATGCATTCCCATATCATAAACCTGGTTATAAGGGGAAAAATGGTTTAAATTTAATACAACTTTCATCATATTCTTCATTTCCAATGCTGAATGCATAAAAGATGAAAGAAAACAATGTATTGAATATTCTGAAAATTATTGTGACTTCTTCCTTCTTTCGAGATTATTTAGAAGCAAATCTCCACTTAGTTTGCATTTGTTAGTTCTCATGAATCAATGTTTGATTTGCTACCTTCTTTTGGATATAAGAATTTTTTGCCGTCCCTTCACACACAAATGTCATTTTTGCTAAAATAGTTCTTTAAAATAAATTTTCACTTCTCTGGAAATATTGATTTATAAACCTGATATATTACTTACTTATACGCCTTACAGGTAAACATTTTTGAAGATGTTTCCTTTATATTTTCGATATGATAAACCTTGTCAGCAGTAAATAAAAAAGGTTTAAAATGGTACATAGCTTTGATTATATATTTCATAGCCAATTCTGAAGACATAAAAGATAAAAGAAAACATTGTATTAGATATTCTGAAACTTACTGTGACTCCTTCTTTCTTTCGAGATTATTTAAGAACAAATTCCCACCCAGTTTACTTTTGGAGGTTCTTATGAAGCATTTTTTTTATTTTGCTAACTTTTTTTGATTTTAATCATTTTTGCTGTCTATTCATTCAAAGATATTTTTGCTAAAATAGTTCCTAAAAATAAAATTGTCCTATACAAAAACTTTGTGTCAAAATATCTTTATAACAACCAATTTTCTGTCACAATTGTTCCTTTAAAAGTCTTTTTGGTGTCGTTTCTCAATCATCGCACGTTAATTGATATAATTTAATCTTCAGTTCGAGTTGCTGAAATAAATATAAGATAAAGGTGATTATTTAGATAAATTTACAGCTCTTTGATATAAGATCATTCAATGTGTAGTAGATCTAAATTTGCAAAGAATTTATTTCAAACGCTTTCATATTTACTACATACATGTATATGAGTTTTCGTAGGAAATGAGTTTATCGAATACTTACAAATATTTTCATCAACATTTCCTGGTTTCTAGCTTTCATTGCTTTCGTTTTCTTTTCGACTCGGATGAGTTTTTCTCTGGTTTTCTGTAACTCCTTTACATATTCCACTGATGCTTTCAAAATACTTCCTTTACACTCTTTCATTTTTCTAAATAAAAATACATCTATTTCAAGCATTTGTTTTGAAAAACATTTACTTTTTAATATACTATATAAAAATATTGAAATATAAAGAATTATTTCTAAAGACCGGAGATATTTTGAACGAAAAATTAAGAATTCATAAATAAATTTTTTGGGGAAAAAAACTCTATTTGCTAATAACCTATTTATCAAACTAATGATGTCGGCAATAAATTCAATTGCATATTTTTAATATGCTATAATAATTATGCAATATGAAAATAATTGAAATACTTACGGGTGTATTGTTGGTGGTAAAAGTGTGCCTAGTTCTTTGATCTTGTTGTTTATATTATCTCGTCGCCGTTGTTCGACTAAAAAAAAATTCTAAAAGTTATAAAATTTAAGATACGTACACAATAAAAGGAAAGTTTTCTGAACCTTAATTTTTTTCTGCAAAGTATTACCCATTCGCAATAGAACTTTAACTGTTTTTCAACTTGTTTGCAGTAGGTGCTAGCAGGTTTGCTTCGCTGTACCTGCTACGGGGAAGTTGTTATTATTTTATTTTTTAAACAAAAGGAGGATAGAAACAATTATTTATGTACGTTTTCTTAACAAAAAGAATATCTTACTGATATTGTGTTTGTCCTTTTTCTTCATTTCCTTCTTTGAATTTTCTTCTTTTCGCATAATTGTAAATGGAGAAATACTTTCTTTCGGAAATAAGTCAGTTTCATTTGATGAAAAGTAATCAGCCTTGCCCTAAAGTACATAGAGAAAAATGCCATGGATTATATTTGTTTTTATGGAATGACATCGGATAAGAAATCTACATATGCGAGTATATAGAATTCTTCAATTGTTGTTTTCCTTGCTTTAAGAGATTACATGATTTATTATAAAAAGAAAAAAAATATCATTCTGTAGCCTTTTCCCGTAATCCACTGGGCATGAGTATCTAACATTTCATTGATTAGTGGAAGATGAGACTACTGATAATTGGAATTTTGCTTTTCAATCAAACGTTCCAGATTACTTACAGATTACATGTATTTAGAAATTGATTAGTTTGCTTAAAAAAGTATTTCAAAATTAACGCAACATAAACTTAACAAAAAATTGGCACATTCAAAATTTAGCGCGACCATCCTTATTAAGTGATTACCTTAATAATAAGGTAGAACATTTGCAGCAAATTCTCTATATTTAATTGTTTTACCTTAAACAAACTAAATGTACATAGGCGAGAAAATAAGTCAAAGGATCTTTCCTTTCCTGAAGATGTTTCCATAAGAATCAGGCTTGGGGTAATGCTAAATAGAATGGTAATGTATTGCAATTCATAACTTAAACTCGAAGTAATGTTAGTAATGTGTAATGCCAAAAAATTGCATTACATTTAATGCCAATTAAACGCATTACTTTCTCAAATCCAGAATAATGCTGGTATTACATAGCATTGCAAAGCATTATTTTGTATATACCTACATGTATTTTAAAAAATTAAAAATGGACATGGAAATTATTGTTTAGATTAATTTATTTTTAGATAATAGAAATGAATGAAAAAAGTTAACCTATTCAAATAAATTTTCTGTATCTTAATTTAAATGCATCTTTATTCTGTTGAATGTAAAATTACCACACATTTTAATTTTTTCTACTTATTTTAGATAAGATTTAATTTCAAAGAATATTTTAAAGAGTTTTTTTTTAAAAAAAATCCTTTTAAAATAATTCCTGTATGAGGCACACTAATTAATGTACACTGAAACTGATAATTGCCACCATTTGAACAGAGTGTCATCAAAAACATAATGCCTCTAAGGTTATATAACAATTAATACAATGTATTGTTTTGAGAAGCACGTACTTCTAAAACCAGCCCCTTTCTTCTGACTGTGTTTATGAAACATTAATTGAGCCAATCTAGCTTGAGCTGACCATGACAAATCCATTGCACCAAAAAAAAAAAAAAAAGAAAAAAAAAGAAAAGAAAAAAAAAATAGAAGACAGGATTTCTACTTTTAGAAGATATATACATACTGTCCAGCCCATTTTACAAGTTTGTCAACGCATTTTATTTTTGTCATAATTTAAGATATAGATCCCAATAATCTTTATATGTCTCATGAAGTTCAGTTTTAGTTTTTGGGAGGGAGTAAATTGCCCCAAAAGCTAAATTGCTTTATAACATCAATAGCTACACAAAAAGTGAATATTGTACATTTTTTATTCTATTGGCAATTGACAAGTTCGAACTTCCTATGAATAATAAAATGATATGTAAATTATTTACAATTTTATAAATATAAGCACTTGAAATTACATTTGAATTATCATTCATCATGTTTAGTTTTGAAAGGGTGGGATGCATGTTTATGAAAAAGTTTTGTATTTTTATTTTTGACCCTCCCCCCTCCGAAAGTAATGGTAATGCTACTTTTGCAAAGTAATGGTAATGTAATGCATTACTTTAAGAAATTAAGGTAATGGTAATGGAAATTTTATACTCAGATTCTTAAAGTAATGGTAATGTAATGCATTACTTTACAATGTAATTCGCCCCAAGTCTGGTAAGGATAAATGAATGTAAAAATTCCTTTATTGTAAGAATTCTTAGATCCACGCCTTGGCAAATGTATTAATTACTTACGCCTAGCCAAGGATGGTATAAGGTCACGCAGCCAGCTTAGCGAGTCCTTTGTATTTTGATACCTACACGCTGATCACCATTTACTTAAGGCACGTCTAATTTGAAGACCCAACACCACCCCTTCGATCCTACCCCTCTTTTTATGATTAATATATTATATGTGCCATTTGTTTTGATGTGCCATTTATTTGCTAACTTTTTCTAACGACGTTTTGATTGTCTTGTTTATAGGTACTCGTTTTTGGGGATCAGACATTTTCATATTTTACGTAACTTACAAACAGAGCTTGTGAGTCTGATTCCAGCCTATTTTGTTTTGATGTGCCATCTTTTTGCTGACCTTTACTTGACAATGTGATGTTTTGATTGTCTTATTTTATAGGTATCCATTTTGTTTTGATGTGCCATCTTTTTGCTAACTTTTTCTTGTGATATTTTGATTGTCTTGTTTTATGGGTACTTTTTTCCCTAGTTTTTGGGGATCAGGTACTTTTTTCTAGTCGTTTTGGGGATAAGGCATTATCATATTTTACGTAACTTACCATCAGCCCATTTTGTTTTGATGTTCAATTTTTTTGCTACTTTTTTGTGTGATGTTTTGATTGTTTTGTTTTATAGGTACTTTTTCTCTTTTTTGGGGATCAGACATAATCATTTTTACGTAACTTACAATGAGAGCTTGTGAGTCTGATACTCTTCTGTGTTAAATTGTTTACATTTACCCCGTCATTTAAATAAACGATATAATTCATCTCTACAAAAAAGTTTTATTTGATTTATTCAAATTTAGCAAAAACTAGTTGCGATGAACTTTCCTACCATTAGAAGACATAAATTTAATTTTATTTCAATTTTTTGTTTAGAAATATTTCATATGTATATGTTTTCTCGATATTTTCAGAAGTTTCTCTTAATTTTCATTCACAGATTTATATATATATATATATATATATATATATATATATATATATATATATATATATATATATATATATATATATATATATATATATATATATATATATATATATATATATATATATATATAATAATAATAATAATTATATATATATATATATATATATATATATATATATATATATATATATATATATATATATATATATATATATATATATATATATATATATTCTTTAAAACAAAGTATTTCCATATTCATATTCCTGCATATGGTGTTTATGTCTCCTAACTTGTTTGACACCAATTTTTGAGCATGCTCTGAGTACAATCAATTTTTAAAGTGAGATTGACAGATAATTTGGTGTCACAGGGATTTCAACAACCTTGTTTAAAGTCAGCATTTTGTAAAATCTATGTTCGTTTTAATGACATTTTTAGTCAATTAAACCTATCATTGCATTGTAATTAACTGAGATATTTCATAACAATCGTTGGGCCTTTGTTTTTATACTAATTTTGACAACGGAATATTTCGTCTGACTGATCAATACATAAGGCTCACTGCGGCTATGACCAGTCGACAGGGGGTTCCTATCTCTCTTTGCCACCTGATGCTCCCAGGACCGTGTTTTATTCCCTGCTTATAGATTTGTTTTGTATATTGTAGGTTTATTGAGATCGATTACTATTCGTTATCTTCATCTTTTTCATCCTCATTATATGATTAAGTACTATCAGCAGATTAAGCGTCTTAAATATTAAGCTTGGATTTTCCTCTGCATCTTTTCACATTTTAAACATATATCAACAGAGAACTTGAGCTAGGTATAAAGTAGCTGTTTTAAGTAAACAAAATCTGAACCAAGAGTCAGCCTCATTGGCTCTTGCAGGAGTTTTGTACTGGCAGCGCTAGCATTTTAGCGTTTTTAATAATAAGCTTAAATTTCTCCCTGCTCTTATTCCCATTTTAAAAGATAAATCAATAGAGAACTGGGGCTAGGTACGAAGTGACCTTTTGGAATACTTCTTTTTTAAGTAATCAGATTCTGTGCCATGTGTCAGCATCAAGGGTTCTTACATGAGTTTTGCCCTTTCTTCTAAATGTACACATTTTCTAATTTCACAAAATTACTATACTTCAATTTTTTTTATTTAAGTCTTTTTTGTTAAATAAATTATACATATACCCTCAAAATTGAAATCAAATGTGGATAATGTTGTTCTTCGTAGAATCTTTGTACATGTATCGAGCATAATGAGTTGACATGACACTTTCAAGATTCTTAGAGTTTTGAAAATGTCTGTTTTATTCTGAAAAAAATCTAAGTGAACAAATTGATTATCATTCATGTAGAAATTACATTTATGTAATTTTATAAAAACTTACTACTGTGCATGTCATGGTCTTTTCTAAATCCATATTTGCCTCATTTGAATGGTTTTGAACGGAATGGACTGCATTGTCACTAATGATGTCCATCTGAAAAAATTAATTTTAAATAATATAAAAGGTGAAGATAACAAACTGTGTACAATTTTATAAATCCAGTAAACGAATCCTAATAGCAAAATATAGACCCCTAGAAATAACAGAGATGGAATCAGGTGCCTAAGAGAGTAAGCATCCCCATTTCACGGTGAGCGTCTTAAACAAATTTCTACTTCTTGTCAGTTTAACTTGTATAAAAGATGCTATTATTCTAACTGTCAAAATTTAAATAATCATAAGATAATTCCTTGATATGTAATAAAATCGTTGTTAATCCGATGAGGTTTTTGTTATCCTATGCATTC